TGTTAATCTTTTTTGTTTTTTAGCTTTTGAACGATGAATATGATACAAGACTTTTAATGTTTTGTTATTGTCTAGAAATATAATAGTTCAAGAAAAAAAAGTCATAAAAAAAATTCTGTCAGTTTTCTACCATAAACTTTATACTCTTAATATAAGCATTTTTAATTTTTTTTAGCTATCCATCAGTTGGAAATAAGACTATTAATGGTTTATTGTTGTTTGGAAATATGAAAAATAAATAAATAAATAAATTAAAAATTGCATTCTTAATTTAAGAGATTAACTTTGTAAAACCAAGTTGTAAAAAGAAAAACAAACAAAGATTATATATATATATATATATATATATATATATATATATATATATATATATATATTATATATATATATATATATATATAATATTTATATATATATATATTATATATATATATATATATATATATATATATATAGCGGAAAGCTCACAACAATTGTTTAATGTTGACCCTGAGTTCGAACTCTTTTATACGGCACACTTAGCTCTCAAAAAAATTTCCCACACATGAGATATAATTGCAAATTATAAATTTAACATTTTCAAAGATTTAGTTATATATTTTTAATTTTATGTAGTTCATTCAAAAATGTTTAGATATGTATATGCTCTAATCGTCGTTATTTTAGAAAAAAGTTCAATATAAATGCTTTAATTAGTTCTATCTAAAAAACAATATTTACATGATTATTTTAATAGTTTGCATTTAATAATATCAATAATAAAAAATACTAAATAAACGCATTTTGCTATTGCATTCAATGTCTTGTGTCAAAAATAGAATCTTAATATAAACATAATATTTAAACAAAAACATAGAACTATTATTTATACATTTTGTATCTATATAAACAATACATGATAATTCTATACAATTATGACACGGTTTCGATGTAAGTGTAGAAATCGATAATAAGCAATCACATATTTTTTTTTGTTAAATGACAATTTAAAAGTGGGGATGTAAATCGGTTTGGAACCACATTGAAACTCACCCGAATGAAAAGAACTGAAAACCGATTAAAGAGTAAACACGAAATTGTAAACCGGACCAATTATCACTATTGGGTTCCAAGCGGTTTCAATTCAGTTCTACTACAAAGTGTGATATCTAAGAAGGTGTTCGACACCGAAAACGATCCAAATTAGATTGGAACCAAAAGAACTAAAAAAAATGATGAATTGGAGGAACTGGACCGAATACCACTAATCGGTTCTATGCAACAAGAAACTATTCACCATCCCCCGAATTAAAGTTCGCTGCATCGCGCGGGTACCCCACTCGTATATATATATATATATATATATATATATATATATATATTATATATATATATATATATATATATATATATATATATATATGTGGTGAGAGAGAGATAAGTTCAATTGAAAAAATAAAAAGGTTGAGAATTGAGGAATTATTTTTAACTAATCATTTATTTTTACTGCAAAATACTCTGTCGTACCGGCACGACAGAGGACAAGTAATATTCATATACAAATATAAATTTAAGGGGGTGTTTGGATAAATTAGTGTTTAGCTTATTAGCTATTTGTAGTGGGAATAAACAATTTTTCAAAAAGTGTTTGGATTACCTTATTGCGGTGCAAATAAGAAATAAGCAATAAACATTTTGAAGTATTTGGCAAACAAAAAGAACTTATATCCGGCGTCTACAAGGTACTATAAAGGTACAAAAAAAGCATATGATTATTATTCATTTCTACCATTTGAAAATATAAAACTTCTATTAATAAGTAATGATACCAACCATCGGCTGGAAGTGGAAACTTAATTTCACGTCTCCTTCGTACTTCATTGAAAATTCTTATGTCATGTGCAGTCCCCTCCCATCCAGCCCATACAAAGGTAAAACACATGTTGAAATCACATGCTGCCATAATATTTTGAGTAACGCAATTCTTTTGTCCAATGTATTTGATTTGGTCATGTCGGAACAGAGACCTTCACGTGTGTTCCATTGATGACACCAATACAATCCTACAAATTCAAAAAATATAATAAGTTACCAATTATTATTACAATTACAAAAATTCACCAAGTAATATAACTTTGCAAAAGATAAGTACCTTGAAGTATGGATAATATCAAGGGTTATTTAAAATATGTTCTGGTATAGTTTCGTTGTAGTTAGCATTTGGTTTGATGATGTCCTTACTTAGGTTAACCATAATATCCAACACTTTATGAAAATGTCTATGGATTGTTTCCTCAAAATGATTAAAGAAGTCTTGAAGTAACCGATTTCTACATCCATGCGCTAAGTACAATAAGAAAATACCAAGGGACACTTCAATAGATACACGATGTGATTTCCTTAACCCATAATGTGCAACAAGATCCCTACATAACATGTTGAAAACTGGGACTTGTAATCTGAAAAGTTCATAACATCGGCTCTCATGATCGTTAAGTATTTCATTGATAAACATGCTTCCTGTACGCGAAGATGAACGGCGATCTCTACATACATATTTCGATTTATGAGTCAATAGTAACCCTTTGACAGCAAGCCCACATAAAAGAAGTGTTTGAATCTCTTCATTTTCTTCAATTTCATCACATAAATCATCACTATCATATGAGTTGTCACTTTCACAGTCACTGGCCATGAATATAACCTATTACTAAACGAAAAGGAAACAAGGGTAAGATTGAAATTTACCACATACTAGATAAAATCATGGCAACATCATGGAAAAGAAAACAAGAGCAAAATCATGGGGCAAGGGTAAAATTAACCACAAAACAAACATGAAACGACATTGCATAAAACAAACACAAAACAACCGTTTAAATTTAACATAATAGATGAAAGGATAGGTCTAACACATGATAACCATTTAAAGTCTACCTAATAGATAAAATCATGGAAAAGGAAACACAAACAAAAACATGGGACAAGGGAAAAATTAACCATAAAAGTAGAGTATTTCTAACAGATGACATAAGAGGATATGTCTAACACATGACATAAAAGTAGAGTATGTCTTCAACTACTTCTCTTTCTCTATAAGCCTCTTAAGAAACTCCATCTTTGTTTCATTAGTCTTTGGAACCATAAAATTCTGACAAGTCAGCTTCTTTAAAAATATCTTTAACACTTCTAAATATCCTATTGAGCCTTCTTCAAAACCCGGGAAAGTAGAGACAATTGCCATGCAATCTTTTGTTGTGGGTGACTGTGTGGTTTGTCTTGAGGGTTGATTGCTCTTTGTTAACAAAACATCAAAAACAATGTTCGGTTTCTCTTCATATGATGAGTTTTCCATACTTTTTCCTTCATATTTTCCTTCATTTTCCCTTCAAATTTTCTTTTGTTGTCACGCCTGGAAGTTAACCTCTTTTCCCTCCTATTCATACTAGAAATATCATATGTGAGAAAAGGATCAACATTTTCAAATAAGCGGACTTCGTCAGTATCCACTTTTCCATCCGTAATATCCACAAACTGTACATCATCCACAGTGATACTGTCGCCAAATTCGCAAGGTACCTTAGCCTTGTCTCCAATAGCTACGATATCTTGAAATAAATCCTTATAGTATGCCTGATATACATCCAAATTCTTATCATTAAACTTAGCATACTCTTTATCTTCCTATATGTACAAAATAAGAATGTCACGAAAAACACAATACAAATAATATGTTGTTAGATAAAAAATTTAATTATTACCTTTATTTTCTCATCCTACCATTCCTTTGATGCTGAGGTTATATTTCTCATGGGATCAATTGAAATTCCCATTTCTAGTTTTGTTAAACAGTCATAATATTTGAACTCTTTCCGCATAATGTCTCATTTGTTTTTCATTTGATTTCTATCCAATTCTTTACCCGTTCATTCCAAAAGCCTCTTACATATATTTTGGCATGCGGGCTATTTGAAATAAGCACCCAGTCTATTCCCATTTTTTAGCTTGGTCATACATTACTCAAGAAATATATTAAATGTATAAGGATCCTAATGAAACCTATTTGTAACTTTCACTTTGGATGTATCAATATACACATCATGAACATTGACAGTGTCTATTATCTATATTACATCATGATAAGGAATGAAGAAAATTCTTAACTTTTAACCTAATGTTGAATCAAAACTGGCAGAGGAACTTATAAATATAAACAGGAATCATACCATCAATAGGAGCAAATAACCACAAGAATAATGAAGAAAAAATATAAGCATCATAAGGGAAGTTTATGATCAAGCATCATAGTGGCAGTTTACCATCATAGTGGCAACTTTTTAGCAGGTAGTAGCAAAAAAAATAAAACAATATCACAGGTAGAAGTATCAATAGTAGCAAATAACAAGAACAATCAAGAATGAAGAAAAAAAGAACAATCCATGGCTTCATCGTCTGTTGATGCATGACCGAACAAAAAGAAAGAAAGAAAGAAACGCAAACAGGTTGTGTTACCAGACGAGAAAAAAAAGGAAGAAGAAGCAAAGCAACAAACCTACCTGATCGTCTACGGTTGATGGCTTGAAGATCGTCGATGGCTAGTTTGAAGATCATCGATGGCTAGTGGAGAAGGGGGAATAGTGATTGTCAGCAGATGTGAAATAACTGATCGACAAAAGGTTTTATGGGTTTATGTATCATATTTTAAGGGTAATTAGGTAATTTCCGAAATCAGTAAAAATAAGCAATAAACAATAAACATTCCCCGCTAGCTTATTGAAATCAACTTATTCAGCTTATTCCTACCACAATAAGCTGATTTTTTAAGCTTCACATCCAAATACTTCAACTCAGCTTATTGTGCTAAGAATAAGAAATAAGCAATAAGCAGCCACTTTTTCCCTATCGAAACACCCCCTAAATGTATTCATATATGAATCACCACCTCCACTTAACCACCAACCACCACCACCTCTTTTACAACCGCCACCTAAGCTATCAACCACTGCTACCTCCGACACCAACCATCCCCGCCATATTCATATATGAATAAATTTGTTTATATATATATATATATATATATATATATATATATATATATATATATATATATATATATATATATATATATATATATATATACTATTCATACATTAATATTATTTATTTTGTCGGCTGTACATTGAAACGTTTAAACGACAAATTCAAAATAAGTGGCCCATATTCATTCCCTCATTCTCAAATACGTTCCACCATACTACGTTGTTTTTCTCTCATATATACATTGTAATTGTTCAAAGTTATTTAAATACAAATCCAAACTTGATTTAATTAAAAAAAATGTTTAGAAATTTCATCATTATAACCCTCTTACAATCCAGACTTTATTTTTTTATACTCGTGAATGAAAATTATGTAAGAGGAAGATAATGCTCAAATTTTTAAAAATATTGAAAGTAAATCAAGTTAAAAGTTGAATTTTAAAAACTTTTTGATGATGATAATGCATATAAGATACAAAAATGACATAGTACTGTGATAACTCGATTAAAAAAATGAATGATATATATATATATATATATATATATATATATATATATATACATATATATATATATATATATATATATATATATATATATATATATATATATATATAACTGAATATACATCAGTTTTTCTAGAAACAAAAATTAGCTGAAATCAGGATTAATTAGGGAAAATAATGAGATTTAAACCTAAAAATCCTCACTTTGATTAGTAACATAATTCGTGCATTTGAAGGGATTATAATGTCCAAAACCTTAGACATTATAAAGAGATAGATAAATGTAGGAGAATCCCCACTGTAATTGCTAGAAAAGATTGAGAATCGAGGAAGAAATCGGTGAAGTAAGGCTGTGAATTTTTTTTAGAGTTCATGCAAATCAATGTATGTTACTTTTATTAAAGTTCAAAATTTTGAATACATAATCTAAGGTTATGTGAGTCGTGGTAGGGGTTGATTCTATATCTTTGTTTCGGCCAATGAAATCATTAATTTAAAAGAAAAAAACCAATATTGATTTTTGGAATAAAGTGATGAATTTAATCTAATATTGCTAAATTAAAAACGAGTTTAAATTTGTATTAGTAAGAAGTGGTGATGATAACTTTTATTATTCGAACCATTTTGGTTGTGGTGACTTGGTAAGGCATGTGGAAGATATAGTGGATAATCTATTGACCCATGTTCAAATCTTGGCACCACTCAGCCCTTGTGGCTATGGAGGTTCGCCTGCAGTGAGTCCAGAGCATGAGACAAAGCTTTATGTTTGCAGCGGGGGATTAGTGGGTGCGCGGAAGCTGGCTCGGAAACCCTCGTTAGGGAAGTTCCCTTTCCAAAAAAACTTTTATTATTCGCAATTGGGAAAATGACTTATCAGGGTAAGAATGTTTCAAAAACGTTTAAAAAATACCATCAAAGTTTTATCTGTTCAAAAAATACCATTAAACTATAGTCTATGTATTAAAAACACCAATCAAGTTTACCTTTTTTTCAAATTACACCTAATCGTAACCGGTGGTTGTGGGTTATAAGATGACTAGGATTAAAAATTGATGTGTTGGCATAACAATTAATTACATGGGATAGCATTGGGTGACATGGCACTTGTATTTTGACTTCTTTACATCTGATTAGGGCTACAAGGAAAGGAACACTTTTCTCTTCTCCTGCATTTCTTCTACTGAAGATGAAACTAATGGTACATTCCAGTTTGAAGATTGCCCTCAAAAGAAAGAATATATTCATGGTGTTCTTAGTTCTCATGGAATCAGCTCCGGTTCTAGCTTCTTCTTCTGCTGCTTTTTGTGATAGCAACCACAACCTAAAATGTTTATTTTTCACTGAATCTCTTATAATTTATGTAACGAAGTTAAAGAAAATAAGAATGAAGATGAAGCTAACTCTCAAGCTCATGAAGTAAATCATCAGACTCAGATGTTGATGTGTTTATCGCTTCTCTTGGGTCTATCGATATCTTAGACCCCCATCCTTCTCCTGCAGTCTGTCCAAAAAAGGAAGTTCTTGTAACGGGTTTTCTTGGTTTAGGTGTGGAGGATATGACCTCCTTTGTTGTCAAAATAATTTCTTTGACCAAGGCTGGTTTGGTCGTCGTTTCTCCACCATGACTTCCCCCTCCATCCTTCGTTGCATCACCGGAAACAGTTGTTTCAAAGACGTTAGACCCCGCTCCTATAGTTCCCGTGTCGAAAATTATGGTAGTTACGGTCAACCTCTCTCCTCCGTGTACCATCGAACAATCCTTTCATATGGTTGATTCATGTCTAGAGGAAAACAGATGGAAACATTATGAGATGCTTCAAACTGTTGTTCCTAGATCTACTAAGCTTACGAAGATTTCAACGAATGGAAATAAAAAGGAATCATCTTTTGTTGATCATCATACGTCATTGTCCTTGGTTGTCGCCTCGCCCCCACCCATTCTCCTAAGCCTACGATGCTTTCTACTCGTGCTGCCATTTGCATCTTCATGCTTTTCCCTAGCACCATTCTTCACAATCTGCACGAATCGACTTCAAGATGAGAGTATAACTTACATGAAGATGAACCCTAGAGGAATCTACTTCATATTTTGTTGAAGGATTGTTGATCGATGAAACCCTAGAGGAATCGACTTCCCCCTCTTTCCCTCTCTTCCGGCCGTTGACGAGAAATGAGCCAAATACCACATATGCTTTACTTAATCGACGTATACTCCATATCATTTTCTTTTTTCTTTTAATTTTGTTTAACAGGTAAAATCAAATTGGTAACCTACACCTGCCAGTTACCATTAGGTGCAATTTGAACAAAATATAAACTTGGTTGGTGTTTTTTATACATAACCTATAGTTAGATGGTAATTTTTGAATAGCTAAAATTTGGATGGTGTTTTTTGAATATTTTTGAAACATTATTACCCTTATAAGTCATTTTCCCTTCCCAAGTTATATTGGATAGATTTTGAACCTTTTGATATGATTATAAAAATGGCAGAAATATTGTCATTGTAATATTAATTTTCGGATTAACAAGATGACTCAATGGTGGATAGAACTAACAACTTGTCATTTGTTTCTTCCTTTAAATTTAAAATCATAAGTTACTGAATAAACCCTATAGTTTTGTAAATTTTCAATTCTAAAAAAAAACAGTGAATATTAAAACCTTAATAAATGTCCTTCTAACCCTTCAAACATTTAATTAAAAGTATTTTAAATGACTTTACGAAATTATGGAGAATACATATATCGTTGTTAATTTTTATTTCTCTATATACTAGAAATTGATTATTAATTTTAACAAATAAGTGTCATATAAGTTTTATACAACCATTTTAGCATAATCACCAAACAATAATTAGTTGGCAAACAAGATATGTAAATAGTTGAACCAAAATAAGAACACATAAAATGTTTTCCTAGGATCATTGGTTTAGAAAAACTTGATGGTCAACGGTAGGGTGCAAATAGCGTAACAATGTTCAGTTAAGACCTAACGACGAGTTTGTCAATGTGAGTTTTTTTTCGTGTTCTATGGTTGTTCGCACATAAATGTTTATCATGTGGTTTATATGCGGTTTTCAAATTTATTAACAGTATGTTTTATGATAAGTATGGTTGTGTGCAAATGTTATTTTGACTTATTTATCTACTATGTGTTTTTTTGAATGACATGTTTAGTGGGAACGAGTGGGGTGTTAAATCGTCATTAGCATGACAGATGTATGTGATCAACGAGGATGGGAATTGAGAATTATACTCATTTCCTTGGATATTTAAAATCTTGAGCACAATGGATGGATTGTGCCAAGGGGAAGGGAAACGAGCATTTGGTTCTTTTTCTGGATAATTAATCGTTCCCCTAAATATTGTCATCGGGTGATATGTTCTGTTGTATGATTTCTTGAGCATATATTGTAAAACTATTTGTTTCTTTTAAGTGATGGACATTTATGTGCAACACGAACTCACTAGGCCCTAGGCTTACCCATTTAGAAATTTTAAATGTACGTAACCTAATAAACTATTTAGCAAGTAAAAGGCCAAAGAAAAGGATCGATCAAGAAGATGATAGAGTAGTTTTGCAAAGACGTAACACCCAAAACTCTCCAACTGGAGACCTAATTTTATTTTATTTCTTCTATTGTAGTTTAATCAATAGTTAAGTGTTAGAATTGATCTTGGGAGAAGTTCATATATATATATATATATATATATATATATATATATATATATATATATATATATATATATATATATATATAAGACACTAACTTCTAACACCCCGATTTTCGAGATAATATATATATATATATATATATATATATATATATATATATAATCTCGAAAATCGGGGTGTTAGAAGTTGGTATCAAAAACTAGTTTAAGTAGATTAGGTGTTTGCATAAACACTTCAGCTTAGACCGAATGAGCGAGAGTTAATCTAACGATTAATTTTGACCATATCTCAATAGTAGGCATCGTCTCCTCAAGGAGATCCAAGAGGCTTACTAGGGTATTACTAGAGTAGGAAGACATTCTAGTTGGAGCCGATATTGCTATACTCG